GGGGGCCGATGTGTGGGGTTAATCAGACTGATGCCCTCGGCAGGAGGGATTATCGGGCCACCTGGAACCTGAGCCAGACGGAGCCGGTGGCTGGGAACTACTATCCTGTCAACAGTCGCATCTATATCAAGGGTCAGGCCCCTGGGGGCCCCTCTGACAACCCCTAAGGTGGGGGGGCTCCTGTAGGTCCCTCCCTGGGTCCCTTGCCCATCACCGCAGTGGGGGGAGGGTGTCCAGTGGTTAGCAGCACTCGCCTGGGCCAGTCGTTCTTTGCTCTGGTGACTCCCCTGTAGGAGCGGGTGATGGTGTTGCTCTGTGCCTCAGTTTCCCCATTGAGAACACAGCGATCCTAGCACTGCCCTGTCTGCCCCGGGGTGGGGTGAGGGAGGAAACCCAGTGAAGATGGCAAGGGCTGGGCTCCCACAGCAGGGCGTGCCGGACGTGGCCCAGATCTTGGGGGCAGAGAGGGTGCAAGCACCAGGGCTGGTCAGCAGGGGCCCCAGCTCCACTCCGGCCTACGGAGCCGCTCAAGCACAGGGAGAGACGGTTCCCGCCGGGCCTCAGCCCAGGGCAGGAGCCACTGGGAGGTGGTGAAGCAGGGGCACACAAGGAGGGCAGGAAGCAAGCAGGGAAGGCGGCACGGGAGGGGTCAGGAGGCTGCAGACCGGCACAAGAGCATGGAAGAGCTGGGGGGGGGGGGGAGGCTGCTCCCAGAAGCCCTTGGGGGAGGGAGGCACGGCCATGCCAGCGAGTGACCCGCTGCGTTCACTCTGGGCTGCGCCTCTCTCTAGGACAAGAAGTTCCAGCTGACGGTGCTGACGGATCGCTCGCAGGGGGGCAGCAGCGTGACTGACGGCTCCATGGAGCTGCTGGTGAGAGATGGGAGGGGGGGGATCCTGCCCGGGCTTGTCCCCCCTCCCCCCACCCCGTAGAGGTGGAGGTCACAGGGTGGACACCACTTAATATGCATCCCCTCCCCCCCCCACCCCCACGAGTGCTTCC